GTTACATATTACAGATTAGATTACAGATTGCCCCCTGTAATCCCCCCCTTCTACTCGAATGGCAGGGTCAGCCCCGTTCTCTTGTTTTTTTTTTTTTTGTTTGTTGTTGCCTATGGCATGGTCGTTGCCTTCGTTGGGGCTTCTGTCGCGCGCACAGCCGGGAGTTCCCCCTCGCGCGCTGGGGAGTTCCCCCTCGCGCGCTGATCGCTCTTCCTCAATTCCATGGCTCTTTCCTTTGTCCACAGCGCCTGCGGCCCTGTGGCGTTAACACAGTGCATCCGCTCCAGATTAGTAAAGTGGTGCCAGGTGGCCCATTCATTAGTTTGCGGTTTCGCACTTCCTCTTTCTGCGCTAGCACTAGAGCGGTGAAATTGACTAAAGCGCGGCTGGGCAAGTTCCTAGCCGTGCAGCGCCGGCTGAACCTGACAGGTTAAACTTCACAAATATCAAAAACAGTTAACTGGCAACACAGGACAAAAGGCAGGGAGAAAGACATGAGCAACAGGCAACAATTTCCATTATATCTCTATATTTCAAAAGGCACAGAATTTTCCAGAGCCACTAGAAGCAATTCTTGGATAATTAACATGGACAGTCTCTGAGGAAGTAGCCTTTGTTTTTTCTAGCTTTTATCCTTTTATATACACAATGGCAGTAAAATAGAGATGAAAAGTAGGACAGCAGCTGACCTCCCCTGTATTCTGCACCATGAAGAATACATTTTGGTGGACGGGGATGATGTATCCAACGATCAGACCTCCACAGCATCTCTTACTCACCCCAAGGTAGTTATACAACAGTGATTGATGATATTTCACCCAAAACCGATGGAAGATCTCTCAGCAGTTTTATGTAGATGTTAAATAAAATGGAAGAAAGGGTTGATCTCTGGGGCATCCCATATTGGAGTGGCGAAAGGCGTGACCTATTGTCTCCCACTATCACTGACTGGACCTACCCACTCAGGAAAGAATGGAAAGACCATAATATGGTGCCTCCAATACCTACACATTGCAGGTGGCCCAGAAGGATTATGTGATCAATAGTACTGAATGCTGCTGAGAGCTCTAATGACCCTGTGAATGATGCCAGTCACAGCTGAATTCCTGCTAATCTCACCCTTGGCAATACAGTCAAATGGGGAGAGGAGGGGAGAAGCTAATAAATAACAGGGTTACTATACTTGATGTTAGCCAGATGACTGAAATCATCATCATCATCATCATCATCATCATCTTCATCATCATCATCATCATCATCATCATCATCATCATCCTTGGGAAGGACTTGATAGGTGGATAAAAATGCCTAATCCAGTCTAAACATCTGGCTGACTGTGCGACCAACCATCATCATCATCATCATCGCCAAGAAGCATATTACCGACAGTTTCTCACCTGAATATCTAAGGCAACTGGGATATGAGGAAGTTATGAGAATGATAAAGAAAGAATAGTTAATATAGAACATCAGAAGGAGTTTCCTAAGCCCCACACTTCTATTGCTTATTGGTGGAAAGTAGTAAGGGTGCTCTGGCCAATTATTTACAAAATCTTATTTTTTACAAACAGAGATGGGCCTTTTCAAGGGGATGCATTAATGCTTTCTTCTCTGCAGTACTGGAAGACATCTATAAGAAGATTAAATAAGCAGAAAGACTCTGCTAATGTAGAAATGGGGAAATAGAAACAGTGGCTCACATTCCTCTAACCTGCCCCATTTATGAGCAAGCCAGATCCCACTTATTAAAAGATTTAAATGGTAGCCCATGGAATTTTACCTTCACCTGTTGCTGAAAGATATAGCCCCTAATATTTTAGCACAAGTTGCAAGATTTTACTTGGAAGCCATATAAAAGTGTCTTACAGCCATGTAAATGTGTCTTAAAGATAAAAATTGCCAGCAGGCTTAAACAAGGCAAAATTCTACATTTTGTCCCACTTTCATATTGTATGCCACAAAGTTACTTGCTTCTTCCATTTCATTTTTTCTTACTTATTCACATGTGTACCCAACCAAGGATTGAGAGTAGCAAATAAAGCAGATAATTTTTATAGATAATAGGTTATAGAGGTTTAGTTAACTAGATTAGCTTAATAGGTTTTATAGGTTTTATGTTTATAGTGTTTTATGCTATTTTAAATTTGCCTATTTACTCATTTAGTTATATGTACATGGACATTTGCTGTATTTTCTCCTTCTGTCTTTCTTCCTCTGTCTCCTTCTTTCTCTTTTTGTACTAGTCATTGACCATATTAAAGATTTTCAAATAACAGGTTTGGGGGTAGGTGGGGCTCTGCAGGTGTGAGGGAAGCCAGCCATCAAGGAACATCAAACTCAAATGTGGAGGAAGGCAATGGCAAATCACTTCTGTATTCTTGCCAACTCTATAGACATGGCTGTAATGATTAGACAAGTTTGTGTGTCAGATGATGAGAATATAAGTCAAAAGATACTGCTCTAATTACTGTCATCAGGCCTGGGGGTCCCAGGAGACCAATGAGATCTTGAGGTAGCTCCTTTGCTAATGACTGTTTTTCGACATGTTTGTTGTTTTCTATCTTTGTTGTATGTTGCTCAGAGTCACTTTTTGTGAGATGAGTGGCCATATAAATTTGATAAATAAATAAATACTGGGGAGAGTATATAACTTCCATGACTCAATCTGGAAGAGATGATGGAGTGAGATTAAAGCAAAAAGTACAATCCATGGAAAATGGATCCAAATTGTCAAAGTGGAAATGAAGTGTACCAAATTGGGAATATGTATACTTAACTGGATCTGTTTCAAGTAACATAAACACAGACTGTACACCTGAACACCACTGGATGAACATCAGAATTAAATAGATTGCTTTAGAGTAGAAAACAGAAGCAGGAGAAGTGCAATCCATACAGGACTGTTGCAGATTTTAAAAAGAATATAAAAGTATGGGTGTGTAAAATAGATGGGTTAAACCTAGATAATTAGACTTTTACTTTTCGCATTTTTTTTTTACAACAGCAGTAATTTATCTGTACAATGTAAATAAAGTCATTATTAGACATACCAGGCACCATGGTTTTGAAGTCCTCAAACCTTCTGGGAAAGTGAGAGACTTCAAAATCAAGCTGATTATTTGGCTTTTCTGAGCCTTAACATAGTCCAGGTTCTGTTTCCTGTTTTCACTCACACAATCAGCAGTT